GGCTTATACAACACGGAAAGAGAGTTAGCAGCGTTATCAACGTCGGCGTACACTTGTTGATAATCGAGAGGTTAGTGAATAGATACACGGATCGTTAATTCCGTGGAAATTAATTTTTCGTGTTATCCAAATTTCTTTTTTTTTTTTTCTTCTTTACCAGGAGAATATTTTATATAAAACTCTCCAACGTAGGAATTGATTTTTCATCGAATACGAAAACATTCCCTTATTGTTACGGATTATTGTTACTTAACCTATCACGATAACGCGTGGAAAATTCATGCACAAATAAATTCATGAAACGATGGAAACACGCGAGGAATTTTAAAATGGAATAATTCGAACGAATCGAAGAGAAATTACATATCGTTTTTGGTAATATTTGTTTTTATATTCTTTCGTATAATCTCGAATCGCGCATATAAGAAATTATATATTTGTTGTTTCTTAATTTTGATCAATAAATTTATCAATAAATATAGATACACGAATGGAAACAGGTTAAGAGGATTTATTATACGGCGAGGTAAGGAAGGAGGCAGAGTGTCTTGATTGCAAACTTGACTGGAACTCAACTCGGATTGCCTAACCTAGATGCAACTTAAACAGGTGTGTTGAATCAATGTCGAAAAACGCGTCGAACGAAATAAAGAATGGAGGTATGATAAAAATATGAAATGTATTTAGATTTTAAGCGAGATCTCGATCGAAAGAATTGATCGAGAATATATATGGTCGTTGATAAATTAATTGATAAGGAAAGTTGTGGTTTTAACGGCGCAACAGGCGCCCCCTTTACCCTCCTGACCGGAAGTAGTTTGCGTGCAATCGTTCGCCCAACCAGACAATCCATCAGATCGTGCAAGATAAGTGGAATAATAGGTTGTTACCAAAACGGTCACTGCCTTTGGATTTATCTTTCATAAATACCTTTCCATTTTATCCTAAGAAATGCTTAAAAATTTACTTGTTTTAATAGATTTTTCAAAAACACCTGGATTCTCATCTGTGTTCCGTATGTAACTATTATCTATTTGTATTTCAAGTTTAGAGTTTTATCAGACGTCGTAGAACCTTGTCTCGCTGTAAGACGTAAGAATTTCATTTATTTCGACTCTCATTAATGTAATTCATTATTCGTAATTCGAATTTTGAATTTTTTCATCGAAAAATCATCGAATACATTCGATGATCCAATTCATGAATTTTCTTACCACAAAATTATCGAACTCGGAAGAACGTATCGAAAATTTCCTGGTTCGAAAATATTTTCAAAATCAATTAGATCTCTCGTTCGTCTCGTATTTATTATCAATTTATAATCCAAATTTAGAGTTTTATCAGATCGTAATTCACTATGGATTCGTAATTCTAATTTAAAATTTTGTCATCGAAAAATCATCGAATTTAGAAGAATTTTTATCTAATTCGAAAAGATTTTCAAATCACCAATTGGACATTCGTATCTATTACCAATTTATAATCCAATTTTAGAATTTTATCAGTCGTTTATCTATCGATGTACGAATTTCATTCATTTCAACTCTCGTGTGTAATTCACTATAAATTCTAATTTAAAATTTTATCATCGAACCCAGAAGCATTTATCTGTCACAATTCGATCCAAAATTACCTAACTGTGAACAAAAACGTTTCGAAAATTTGCATCCATGATTCGAAAAGATTTTCAAAACCAATTAGAATATCATTCATATCTATTATCAATTTATAATCCAAATTTAGAATTTTATCAGATCGTCGAAAGCTTTGTCTATCGACATAAAAATTTCATTTATTTCAACTCTCGTGTATAATTCACTGTGCATTCGTAATTCGAATTTTGAAAATTTCGTCATCGAAAAATCATCGAATCCAGAAACGAAACGACATCGAGAACTCTATCTATTAACCCAAAGAATATCGCTTATTCTCATTTCATCCGTCACAATTCGATCCAAAATTACTGAACGAAAACGTCTCGAAAATTTGCATCCATGGTTCGAAAAGATTTTCGAAACCAACTATACCTCTCGTTCGTTCGTTCGTCTGCTACCTATTTATTTACAAACTTGGAATTCTATTATCGGAAAATTACCAAACTTGACGAACGTCGGAACAACATCGTCTCTTCTCGACGACGGGGAGGAGAAAGAGAGACACTGTGTCGCGTGTAAGAATCGTATCGAACGGCACGATTACGATTCTCCTTCGGCAACGTCGAATGGGGAACGCGACAAATCGTAACAGGTAAATCCTCCACGGAACGTGATCTGGATGGCGACCTTTCCCCGAGTCAGCATAAAAAAAAGTAGGCAGAGAGAGCGTCCTCTCTGTAATTACAAAGAGGATCGTTTCCCTACCCTTTTGGAAAGGACGACGCCTTCCTTCCTTTCTTCCTTCCTCCCTTCCTTTCTTCCTTCCTTCCTTCCTTTCTCCCTCGAGGAGAATTCGGAGATTTAAGAAAGCAGAGCCGGCGCTTTATCCTCGACGCTCTCGATTCTCGAAATTGTCTCGATCTTTCTCAGGTGTCAGGTGTCGTCTGCTATTCGAAATTAAATCACGGTTCGCATGATCTACGAGAATAATTATCGTCGAGAGTTCGAGGGTGTTTTTTTCCCTCGAAAGTGAGGATCGTTAACGAGAGAAGGGAATAAATATTTTTTCGCGGCATGAAAAATTGGAGGACGGTCCTTCGATTCTCGTTCTGATCGAGCTGGGATTTCCCTTTTTAAATTCTATTCCCTTAGGTCTCGACGACCCCCCTCGTCGACTGGGGGGTTCAAATCGGATCGAAATCGACTCTCTTTTCTCTCTTTCTTTCCCGAATCGGGCAACATTTCTCTCCTCGAAACGGTGTTTATATCCATCTATCCATTATTCCATCTATCCATTGGAGTTTGGAACAATGGAGATGGGACACGAGACGAATTTTTCATTCGTTCCGCTCGCACTTTCCTCCACTTTTTTTTCTCAGGAATCGTTCGAATGCAAGAGTATCCGTAATGGAATAAACTGTGTTCCAACTTTTTCCTCGTCCGTTGGAGGTCCCTTGGGTATATTTCGGTCATCGTCGAAGATATTTTCCATAACATATTTTCCGAAACGGATCGTTTCCTTCCTTCGTATAAAAGGAGTTTTTATACGAAATCGAGCTCGATTTCTATACACGCGTTATCCTCGAATATCCTCGAATATTCTTTCCTCTTCCTCCTCCTCTTCTTAAACGGCGCTGAACGAATACACGAATCCTGTCCAGAATCCTCGAATTCTAGAATTTCGCAGCGTCTCGCACTTAACTTATCGCCCGAGGATATGATTTCCTTGAAAAAGAAAGAAAGAAAGAAAAGAAAAGAAAAGAAAAGAAAGGCACAACACTTGCTCTCGAAATTGCAAAGAGGAAACACGCGGAAAACATTCCATCCGCGCACTCAACAACTCCGATCCGATTTCGAATATTCAAATCTTCACGTATCCAATCCTTCCTCTCCCCCCTCCCAAAATGATCGCTCCTTAAGGGGATAAACAAATTGAAAAATTCTCTCGATGCGTCCCTCGAATTCCAAGAAAACTCGTCGAGAAGGAAAAGTCTCGAGCGGAAGACGAAAGCAAAAGGTTTTTCCTCGAAATGTCGTTGATCCTCTCTCTTCTTCGTCCATTCTCTCTCCCCTCTTCGTCTCTCCATCTTCGATCAAGGAGTGCAGCTTCTTCTCCTTCGTTCACGATAATTTCAGAGAGAGGTTCATTATTTCGAAGGAATCGCGCTTCGATCGAGGGAAGAAGAAGAAGAAGAAGAAGAAGAAGAAGAAGAAGAAAGGAGAAAGATAGTATAGTATAGGATAGGGTTGATCAAGAGAACGATGGAAGATGAAAGGAAGGAAGAAAGGAGAGGAACTGAGTGGAATTGAAATCGAAGCAAGCCTTCCAGGATTATCGAAAAAAGTGAGGGGGACAAGAAACGAGGAAGGAGTTTCTTAAGAATGCCCCGCGATCGGTCCCGACCTTCTTCCCTTCGCGCGTGTGAAAAATTGGAATTTTCACCGGATGGAGATCACGCTTGGCGGGGTGGAAAAGATTAATTTCACGTTCGACTATCAATTACGCGGGGACAAACAAAGCGTTCGTCGTAAGTGAATCGAGAGATAAAGTTTGTTTGCGCGTTGCGTAGGAATCGCTTTACGCTTTCCTCCGCCGGGGCAAGGTGATTGGGGGAGGGGGGGAGGGGGAAGGTGCCGCCGAGAAGAGGAGAGGAAATCCTTAAAAAAAAAAAAAAAAAAAGAAGAAGAAGAAGGAAGGAAAGAAAGAAAGGGAAAAAAAAGTCGGGAATGGAACAACAGAGCGACGAAACGATTTGACGGAAAGAAAAGGGGGTATTGCCCTCCCTCTCCCTCTCCCTCCCTCTCCCTCTCTCTCTCTCTCCGCACTCCAATCAACTCCTCGATCCGACGTGTCGCACAGCCACTCGATTTATCCCGTGATCCTCGATCTCGAGCCTCTCGACGTGTTATACCCGACGGACGTTCCATTATCTCCTCGCGCGTTAATACCCCAAATTACATTAAACAACGTGGCAACAACGAAAAAACACAAAGAGGAAATCGAAGAAGGAGGAGGAGAAAGAAGGAGAAGAAGAAGAAGAAGAAGAAGAAGAGATAAATCATGCTTTGCTTGCCACTATCGATCGTGCTTTCGTGTGTGTGTGTGATAATGGGAAATGGAAAGAAGAAAAATTGGGGAAAGCGAGTCGAGCAACGCGGGAGGATGACACGGCTTTGTTCGAGCACACAACACTTCGTTCTCATGCACGAGGGGCGTGTGTGAAAGAGGAAGGACCACCGCGTTCGTTTGTCGAGATACAGATATATATATATATATATATATATATGTATATGTATACGTATATGTATATATATATATATACGTATAGGTCGCGAATTTTTTGGCGGTCACGATTCGAAGTGGAGAGCGTGCTGTGATGGTTTCTGGGTAAATTCGTGGCTCACCTGGGATAGAATCATGACGTGCGGCAGCTGGCGCGCCTCGCCGCGCACTGACTCTTCCGCACCCCGAGCACAGCCTCCTCTCACCCCCTCCATACCTTCGCCCCTCCTCCTCCCCATCTCTCTCTCTCTCTCTCTCTGCCCGCTCACCACTCGCTCGCTTTCTCGCTCGCCATCCCTCTCTCGCTTACCCCCTCTTTTCCACCCCTCTCTTCAGTTCGCCTCGAAAAAGCGGGCGAAACTCGTGGAACCGCCGCCGCTGCCACCGCCACCGCCACTGCCACTGCCACTGCCACTGCCGTTTCCCTTTCGAATTATTCCCTCCCTCCCTCCCTCCCGACTTATTATTTATTCCGAGCATCCACCACTCGGCTCGTTACTACTTTTTCCACGTTTGCCAACCTCTCGCCGAACCTTATAACGAGGATCTTTGCATTTTTCTTGTTGCGAGGGGGGATATATATATATATATATATATATCTCTTCTTTCTTTCTTGCCTCGAGCTCCGATCCGATTCTTCGAAGGGAAGAAAGAAGAGGAAAGAAGAAGGGAGGGGGTTCAATTATACACTCTCGAACGAGTTTACCGTTCGTGAGCACCGGTCTTCTCATATCGATTGTTGCTTATCCTACTACTTACTCTTTACCCCCGGCTTTTATCCCCGGCCGGATTGTTCATCGTTGCGTGAAATCGTTGTTGAGAGAGAGAGAGAGAGAGAGAGAAATCACCAATTTCTCAAATCAAGAAAGAGAGAACAGATAGAAGTCGTCAGTTCTTCTCTATCGCCTTCCTTCTATTCGTCTGTATTTGACCTACAATAAACCCAACGCGTTCGCGCGTTCAGGGAGGGGGGGGGGGGGGGGGTGTTTATCCTGTGATAATCGGGTTGCGTTGTTGCAACCCCTTCGAATTCGATTAAGTTTTCCAATATGGGACCCGATATACACAGGGTATGTCGAGTTGAATTAACCTTACCGTGGCCCCCCTCCCCCCGAATTATTCGATCGCTCTTGTTCAACGAAGATTGCGCCCACCGTGTCACGCGTGCATGTACGATATGTATATATGTATATATAGCTTCGTTAATTGGATCGGTGGAGGGGGGATGGGTTAATTCTTCTATCCCCTTCGTATCGAATAATGGCGCGTAAATGGCTTCTTGTAGGCAGCAAGTGCTCTGGATGGAGCGTTAGGGAGGTCTTCGATGTTTTATTCGATATGTCCGTGCCCGCATCGTGGAGGCGGCCGAAATCGCGGGAAACCGTGAATACCGTTTAATTTGGTTTTGCGGCCGTGTTGCGGATTTATATATTCGGATTATTATTATTATTGTTGTTATTATTATTATTATTGTTGTTGTTGTTGTTGTTGTTGTTGTTACTATCCATCGACGAAATTGTTTCGCAGCGTGGTGTTGGTCGCACGTTTTGCGTTATATTCATAATTTACTCGTAACAATTGTTTCTTTCGTTTCCAGATTTCCAGATTTCGATGAATAGAATCTTCGATCGAATATTCACGACTCGAACGGGTGAAATTCGAGTGAATTATGTTATTTATATCGGGGTGTGGGGGGGGGGGGGGAAGGCGTAGGCGTGGGTTTATTGGATTCTTCTGGTTCCTGGTTGGAATGTTGGTTGCTTTTTCGAGCCAATAATGGAATTACAGGAATAAGTATCGTGGGTATATTTGGTTGGATACACGTGGGTAGAAGGGTAGAATGATTTCGACGATTTCGATCTTTCTCGTATTCGGGGATTGTTGAATAAAAATTTACGTTGGATGAGGGGGAAATCAAAAGATCGAGAGTAAAAAAAGAAAAGAAAAAAAGGATTTACATATTCGTAAATTTCGACACAAAAAATTTTTATCGTAAAAATTTGGGTTTAAATTATTGATATAAAAAAAGTGAAATCGAATTTTAATCGAAATATATATATATATATGTCGTTCGATCACACGTTTGTAATTTGCCAAACACGTCGAGAATCAAAATAAATATATCGATGTCAAATTTCCTATAATAGATATACGCCGTAGAATAACGAATGTTTACAATTTCGACGGGTGCCTTAATCCAGTATGGAACGTGTCGTCGTCGCGAGCGGTACGTTTATTATCGAGTCGAATCGAGTAAAATTTTAATCTTAAAACTTTGTGCTGCGCAACACACGAGTGATAGTGCAAAAATTGTTTACCAATGGATTTTTTTTTTTTATCAACGAAAATTTGAAAAGTGAGTGGCCAGATCAAAATTATTATTTCGTTTTAAATTTAATTTTTTAAATTAAATTTAGCAGCGTAACATTTGACGATTAGGCTTTTAATTAAAATTAACGAACAATTTTTTTTTTTATTAAAATATCGCTTCAAGGAGATGAGATCGACAATTTCAAAATTTTTTCAAAATACTTTTTCCCTTTTTTCTTTTTTTTCTAATATTATTTTGTAATAGCGGAAGATGGAGCAAAATTTTAAATTTTGCAAAATGTTCAGAATTCATTGGTCTGTCGCGAAAGAAATTGGCACGCAAAAATTGTATATTGAAAAAGATGAAAAAAAAAAAAAAAAAAGAAAAAAAAGAAACGTCGAAAACTTTTGCTTTCACCGTTTTAAAAAGATTTTTCGTCGACGTACGAAAAACTTTCCTTCAAATTAGATGAATTATCCCGTAAAACAGCGTTCCAAAAACCACTCTTGTTGAACCATCGTATATAGATATACATTTTTTGTTCAAATTTACATCGTCTCTTTCTCCTTTTCCTTCTCCTCAATTCTCCTCCTCTCCTCCTACAATTTTAATCGCGCTTTGAGATCCGGTTTAAAGAGAATGCGAAACAAGCTCGCACGATAAACACTTCCATCCATAAAATTTGTATTACATCTCGATCGACGCGCAACTTTCTTTTCTTTTCCCCTCCCCCTGTAGATCAAAGATAAACGCGTGATTTATGTATAAATTCTTGAATCATCGTTGTCACGCCATGAATAAATACGGAGACGTATTTCTTGTATACGACACGTATATGCTCTTAGAAAAGATGGAGGTTCGATAGGTTGGTCCACGAACCGATAGGCGCTTAAGCTTCCGACTTATATATATGTACCTTTCATCGATTCTCCCTCTTTTTTTACTTCGCTTCGATAAAATCGACCAAACGTTTCCTCCTCGTGGGGGAGGAGGAATATCCTTTTTCGAAAAAAAGAAAAAAGGATGGAGGGGAAGGGGGAGGGGCATGAGGAAAAAATGAAGGGGGGATTAGTTATATATAGCAAACGCTTATTAACGGATCTTTTTTTTTTAATCGAAATTCAAAATTCCAAATTCGATTCCTTCTCGTGGAGGAATATCTTTTTCGAAAAAAAAAAAGGAGGGAGGAGGGGAAAGGAGAAAATGAAGGAGGGATTAGTTATAGCAAACGCTTATTAATCTTGTTTTTTTAATCGAAATTCAAAATTCCAAATTTGATTCTTTCTCGTGGAGGAATATCCTTTTTCGAAAAAAAGAAAAAAGAAAAAGGGGAGGGGTGAAAACGAGAAAGGGAAAATTCAAATCAAATTCGATTCCTCCTCGCGGAGAAATATCTTTTTCGAAAAAAGAAAAGGGAGAAGATGAGAAAATTCAAACCAAATTCGATTCCTCCTTATAAAGAAATTCCTTTTTCTTTCATTCATTTCTAATGTATTTGGATTTACTTTCTCATCTTTCCTCTTCCCCCTTTTCTTTTTTCTTTTTTCGAAAAAAAGTATTACTCCACGAGAAGAGAACTCGAGAATCGAACTCTGGTTTGAATTTCGATTTAAAAAAAGACTCGTTAATTTGGTACAATTCACATTTCGCCCTTCATTTTCTCCCTCCTCCCCCCTTCTTTTTTCTTTTTTCGAAAAAGATATTCCTCCACGAGGAGAGAACTCGAGAATCCAGCTTTGGTGATTTGAATTTCGATTCGAAAAAATATTCGTTAATGCGTCTGGTATGATCGATCCACCTTTCATTTTCTCATCCTCTTCTCTCCTCTTTTCTTTTTCTTTCCACTTAACCAAAAATTCAAACCTCCAAATCCAAAGCTCGATTCGTTCTAATTATAATAGAACTTCCGCTCGTGTGGAACAAGGATCGCGAAATAACCGTTTCTCATCGAGTCGCCGTGTTATTTCGCGAGATCTAAAACCGGTGGTGGAAACCGAACCGCTGGTCGAATTAAAAAGAAAAACAAGTGGAGGAAGAGACACGATCGATTAGCGATGAAAGGCCTGGTTTAACGAACCTTTTAAACGATAAATTGGACGATAAATCGAGATTAAGGAAAGAGGGGGGGGAAGAGAGATTGTCGATATCGTAGTTAACGAATCGTTGCCGCCATAACTGAACTAGTGATCCTTGTCGACTCAGAAGGAAAGGAGTATATATATATATATATTCGTTGGAGAAATTTGCACGAGTCGAAAAATTTCAGAACTCGGATCGGGGAAAAGTCGAAAAATCTAAAAAAAAGAAAAATTGGGTCGACTATTTAAAAAACTTCTATTCTCGTTCAATTCTTAATAAAGCGATCGCGAAGGATTCAATGAAATTCTCGTTTCGAGCGACAAAAATATTCGGAGTGAAACGAATTAAGGGCAAGTATTTCCATAAGATTACGCCCAGAAGGGAGGGAAAATAAGGGGGTAAGAATCGGGTTAAGCGCGATAGAAAAAAGAAAAAAGGGATTTTCTTATTCTATGTTCTTTCTCGAATATTTAAAAAAAAAAAATTTTTCTCAAATCTTGGAAACTTCCATAATTTTCCATTGTTTTTTTCGAATTATTATTTTATTACGAAGAGATTCGTTTTCTTTCGAGTAACTCAGTGACGAAAAGAAAGAACCTGTTGCATGTCTCTCGAAGAATGCGAGTCGTTATGAGAACCACTGACGGAAAGCCGATATGCAGTTTCCAAGACTGGATTCTTAACGTCATCCGTCCAAGATAGTTGGAGGAATTGTTTGAAGAATTTCGCTTCGTTCGTCACACTTGCTTTCTCTTCCT